AGTTAGTTACAATCTTCTTACATAGGAAGACATGGGTGGAGATACTTGGAGGATTTCCAAGTAATAAGAAACTATGTGAACAGAATTGGTGATCTAGGGATAGAAAAGGGTGGAGGAGGGAGCAGGGCACACAATTAGACTTCAACTTTGCAAGGGTCTGTAAGTTTTTTAAGGAAGCTTGGAGAATGTTTTCTTTGTGAGCAATGAAGAATCTGGGGAGTTTTGAGGTGGGAAAAGATATGATTAGATAGTTTGTGTTTTGTGTTGGCTTGCTTAGCTTCCCCGACCCCCCACCCTCTCCCAATCCCCCCTTTTTATTCCCCTCCAGCAAAAATCATTCCATTTCAGTAGAAATGATAAATAGGAAGGGGGAGAAACTAAAGGAAGGAGCAGCAGTGTGGAATTTACTACAATACAGAAGACCAGCAGTGGGGTGATGAGGAAGGGGCAGATTTAAAAGATATTTAGGAAGTTCCATTGATCTGATTTTGGCTCTTTTTAGAATGAGAAGAGAAAGACGTGGATGGAGAGATGAAAAGTTAAGCAATTATGACTATGTTTTCCCGTCATCAGTGTGTGGGCAATGATGTCATTAAAAAGGTGCAGATGGTGGAAAGAGATTTAATGGGAAGATAAGAAAAATGGTTCTGGGTTTACTTGAGGAATGTCTTGTTCATTGTTATGCCACTAAAATGTTAACAGCTGACTTTCCAAAAAAAGAAAAAGAGAGTCCTGTTTTATATCATATTGATAGTCTCACCATTGACTAAATTAAACTAGCCCGTTAGAAGTCACTTATTGCTGAGTTGGGATGAGATATACACAGCCAGCTTTTCTGAGCCGGTTTGAGCCAACTCTAGCATATTACCAGTCCTGTTGGGCGCTCTGGGGTGCATTCAGGAGCACAATCTGCAAATTATGCAAGGGATGAGAGCAGGTGACACAGCATTTAAGTGAAGCCAAGGAGTGGAGCAGGTGAAATAAAGAGAAAATCAGTCTAAGTACTGCTACTTTTACTTCTACCTCTACCTACCTCTAATCTATATCTTTACTTCTACCTCTGTGAAGAGGAGTCAGAAAAAGAATGATTAAAGAGGCAGGAGAGTCAGAAGAGAACCAGATTCATGAAATACAAGAGAAGAACTAGTTTCAAGAAGGTGTGGTCAGTAGTGTCAAATAGCAGAGATCAGGTAGCCTATGGACTTAAAGGAGGTCATTAGTCTTATCAACTGTGTGGTCTTTCTGTGTTTGAGACATTTTTTCTATGTTTCTACATTAAAATATTTTGTAATATAAAAAAAGAAAACATCTGCCCATTTCTCTCTTTTTTAGGGACGTCCGTAGTGAATTTGGATAGACTCAGAGAGGTGGTGGAAAAAGTGCCTGAAATGGGCTGGAGAGTGAATGAAAGGGAGTCAAGATGAAATCTTCCCAGCAGTTTGGATCTGAAGGGAAGGAGAACTTGAGGAGAGACATACTGGAAGGATAGCTTTTTTTTTTTTTTTTTTTTTGTGGGACCCTTGCTGGTGGCCAGGGAACGAACTGGTGCTGCAGAGGCTGCGGGCAGCCTTGCAGCCCAGAGCTCAACCGGTGCGCCACCAGGGGAGGCCCAGAAGGATGGCTTTTAAAGAGAATTATAACTCAATGATTATCAGTATTTTAGGGTTATATAGCTGTCTGTTATCTAGGCTAACTTGTTTTTTCCCCAAAAATAAGTAGGAAAGACATCTTACTCAATTCCAGAAGCAGTGATGGTTTGGAATCTTGCTTGGATTGGAATTAAATTGGAATTAAATAGCCACAGATATAAACCTTATATTCCCCTTTATATGATGGATTACTTATTTATAAAAGTTGTTTAAGGCACCTCTCATTCTCCAGGATTACCAAAATACAATGTTATTAGCTCTTCTTAATGGTAACACATTCAGCTTGAAAAGAATACTTTCTTTTTTATTTTTCATTGACTTCCTGTAATAGTCTATTTCTCAGAGCTTTCATAAACAGAAGAATCTGCATACCAACCCAAAATATGTGTGTGTTGAAAATCACTTCATTTATATATATATATAATATTTATTTATGTATACCATGTAACACATATTATATATATCAAATCACCCCCAAGCAAAGTCTATTAGGTAATGCCAAATTTAAAAGTCTCAATTGAAAGATTAAAAATTGAGCTTCTAGACCTCCCTGGTGGCACAAGGGGTTAAGCACCACACTATGAAGCAATCCACAGCCTCTGCAGCATGAGTTCGATCCTTGGCCAGACAGGGAGAAACCCACATGGCGAGGCAGACCTCTCCTGTCTTGTCCACCACTCCTCTCAGTAGTGTATTTCAGTCAGTCTGCCTGTTCTGTTTTTCACTCTGTCTCTAGTGGATTCTTTCACCCCCCATATCTCTGGCCTGTACCCCAGCACTTACATGCACAAATAAATAAATCTTAAAAAACATTTAAAAATTGAGCTTCTCTGTAGCTCTATGACCTCTAACAGGGTCTCCAAGGCCACAGCTGCCTGTAGGGTCATTCTGTAATTAGAAAATGCCAGGGTCATCTTAGAATAGAACCTCAAGCCACCTAGGCTACATTTACAGAATCAGCTTCTCCAGAGTAACAGTCACAAAGAAGGACTTTCCTGTTTATTTGGAAAGGGTCACCATTGGTATTTTTGTGGTCCTTTTATCAGGAATCTAAAGACTTGGTGCAAAGTTCCCTGCAACATACTCAGGAACAAATCAACCTGGACTTTCAAGGACTGGAGGGAAACAAATTCACTCCTGTAAATGTCAAGGGACATTCTCTTAGGCTTTAACTTTGGAGTTCAGTACTTTTGTCATATGAACCTGTCACATGGTGTCAGCAGACTTATGTTCCTGTGTCACCTAGCCAAATCACTTCACTTCTTTGGGAGCTTGGGATCTTTTATTGATAGAAATCAATGAAGCCAATATCAACAGCTTTCAAACATAGCGTTCATGTATTCATTGGGTGGGGGGCAAGCTTATATTGATATCACAGGTTGTTCTTAGTTAGAAATGATGAAGTTTGGCTGTAGGGTCATAGACTCTTGTATTTAGATTCAACGATTGTCCTCTTTCTGGGGTTTTATCTTCTTGGGCTTACTGATTTTCTTCAGCACCTGTTTTTTGTCTTATTTGTATAGGACTTAATGTCACTCATTCCCCGCAGTAGAACAACATTAAAGAATTATTTTAATAGAGGGTGTTCTGGGGAATCACAGCCTTTAAAATTTCTAAAAGAATGATTCTGGTGGATTTGAGGCACTATGATGGGCATCAGAGGTCAGTAATGGAGAATTGGGAGACCTCACCATTGTTAACAGGAAAGGTAATATCTCCTCTAGGTGCTTCTCTTTAAATAGGGAGGGTCAGAGAGATGGCATTGAACTCTCTTTTAGATCTGGAGTTTTACAATTTTGGCATGAGAAAAATGTTACAGGTCATGGCTTGTACCTGGAAATGATATCAATCATCAGCAAATAACATGCTCTTTGTCTGTAGTGCCATTCTTCCAAGGAACTCAAAAACAAAATAAATTTTCAGAAAACCCTTATGAAGCAGGGGGAGTATACATATTATGCCCATTTTACAGGTGAAAAAATGGAGGCAGAAAGTTGTAGATCATGTGGTTCAGTCAACTATGACATCAAAACCCAGTGTCATGTCTAAGATCCCAGGCAAGAGGGAACCCTCTTCTGGGCTTTAGAAGGCTTGGCTTTGGTCCTCTTTAAACTCCATCCATTCTAAGGGTATATATAGTCCCTGGGGCCAAAAGGCCACACCATTCAGAGTGATGGGTACCTGGCACCCCAGAATTCCTTGCCCTCGGCCCCTAAATGAATTTCTAGCACCTGCATGGGCCTCTTCATTGGATTTGTCCTGAGTGACAAAGACACTGATGTGTGCACATGAGCACAAGTTGTGGCCCAGAGGTGCCTTTTGCCTGTACTATAGAGAGAGCTTGCACATCTGGGAGGTCATATGCACACAGTGGGGGCCAGCTCTCCTATCCCATCACATTCCTGCTAAAACTCAGAGTGTGAGTTCACACTCAGAGTGTGAACCTGCCCTTTAAGCTTACGTCAAGGTTTCTTTGTCAAGGTAGGAGACATTTATTTTACAATCTGTTGGCTTGGCTTAAAATTTAAATAGATATGTGGCCACATTTGTACTCATCTCTGCCCCTCAAGTGCTATGGGTGGGCTTGTTCTTGATTGTCAAAGCCAAAGTCAGCTGAAGAACTGGAAGGGCTATATAATTTTACAGAACTGAGATGCTCTAGCTGCACTTTGCACGTCTGTAGAAGCCCTATGTATTTCTCAGTAGGCTGCCAGCCAGTATAATGAAAAAGAAAATGGAAATTTTTTTTTTTTTTTGGTGGCCTCTCTTTTCCTCCCAGTTTACAAAAGGGATAGAGCAAGACGCTTTTCCAGGGACCTGGCAGGCACAGGTTGGGCGTCCCAAAGGCAAGAGGCAGCCTAATGAATACCAAAGTAAAGGTTTGGGTGGGAAACAAACACAACCAGTTATCTAGAGGTCCACCTTACCCCCCGCCCACTGGGCCTGCCAAAGGAAGGAAAGACTAAAGGATTGGCGTCCGGAAGGGTTTCAGCCTAGCGTTTTTGTCTTCCCACCTCATCCCTCGACTGAGTAAATTAACAAAGGGAAAAATTGCTGAAAGCCATAGTTCAGAGGAAGCAATTTCCGCTAGTGCCGCCGGCAGCTCAGAATGTGGCCAGAAAGGCAGTCCCCGGCGCAGCCCCAAGCCTGGCATTTCCCATTTGCCGTGGGCGCAGGCCCCGGGAGGGGGGCAGGGGGCGCGGATCCTGGACCTGGCAAAGCCGGGAGCACCCCCTGCCCCGGGTTCTCCGCCTCCAGCCCTGCCGGGAAGTGCTGGACGTCGCCGGTTTAAGGGGCGGGCCGCGGCTCCACGTGCTTTGTGCGGAGTGACTGAACTACATAAACAGAGGCTGGCGAAGGGGGCGGGGAAAAGGGAGAGAACAGGCTTTGACCGATAGTAACCCCTGCGCTCTGCTCAACCGAATCTATAAAAGGAACTAGTCCCGGCAAAAACCCCGTAATTCCAAGGAACAGTGAGTGGGGCTGCAACCCGCCGAGCCGAACCGACGCCTGTGCCCCAGTGCAGGTGGGCAGGGCTGGGGGCGCCGCTGGACCTGCCCAGTCGGAGCCACTTTCCCCGGGCGTTTTGCTCTTTTTTTCTCTCCCTTCTCCAGAAGGGGTTTTCAAAGGGTCGGGGAAAAGAGACGCAAACACAAAAGTGGAAAACAGGTAAGAGGCTTTCCCTTGTCTTGAGCGTTATTGTTTTGTTTCGGAACCGAGGAAGCTTTGCGAGGCGCTGGGTTTCCGGGACTTTGGTCCGAAAACTCACACCCCCACCTCTTGCACAGCAAATGAGGCTGGGGCGGCTTTAATCTTGGCCGGGGGGTGGGTTGTGGGGGAGAAGGACATTGTGAGACGAGCTCTGGCGACCCTCAGACGCGGCGCTCGGGGCTCGGGGCTCGCCGGGCGCTGGAACCCGTGGAGCATCCCAGTGTGGGGACCGGGGCGCACTACCTCGGGCTCAGCGGGGTCGAGGGCTCCCGAGTGTGCTGGGAGCGCTGCTGCCGGAGTGGGGAGAGTGGCAGGTCCAGCTTCGAGCTTTTCTCTTTGTTCGGAAGCGCCCGAGAGCTGAAAACCCTTCTGTCTGCGGGTCAAACAGCGACCACCGCACTAATGCCAGGACTTAGTCCCCACCCAGTTCTTAAGAAGCTGTGTTTGCTTTGACCGGGGACTCGACTGTGTGCACCTCCAGACTAGAGCGGCGCTTTCTTACTGTCCAAAAACTCGAGTAGGAGGTGTGCCAAACAGGGTCCCTGGCTTTATTGCTGGCTTGAGACCTCGGGGGTTTTGTTTGACCTGGGGGACCTGCCGAAGGTTTCCCGGCGCTCACCCAAATTGGCGCAGCGGGAGGCGAGTTTTGTTCTTTTTAAAAACAAGACTTAGAAAGAGATCCTGCGGAAACCTGAATTTAAAGTGTGCATCCTCCCTTTTTGCCCCCCGCATCTTCCTGCCCTGCGCTGCTGATCTGTAGCGGCTGCCTTAGACCGGCCAGAGATGGGGAGGCTGAGCAGAGATGGTGCAGAGTAATGACCGGGAGTAACCCCGGCGGGCGGTGCAGAACTAGGAGCTCCGCCGCCGGGTTGGGCTCCGCGGTGGGGGTTGGGAGGGCTGGGCGCGGGTTGCCATTGGCCCCGGGGGACTGACCCGCAGCGCCTCCTGGCCGGGCGGCCTGGGAATCGTCGGGTAGCCAGATTGTGGCCTCGCTTTACCGGGTGTTGTCGCTCCGGGGTTCCGACTGAGATCGAGGAAGAGGGATAGATGCAGACTAGGAGGAAAGCTGGACGATCAGGCGAGAGGCTGGCTGGTGGTCTTCTGTTAGCTCATTTCTCGAATGGAGACTTTTGAGAAATATGAATGTTTTGGGGACGTGGTTCCAGGGCTGTGTATGGGTGCTTCTTTTTCAGCAGTTATCATGAAGAGGCAATAAGCAAGATTTTAAAAAATGGAAAGAAAAGCTTCTGGTGTTGGAGGTACTTCCAGCATGACCCTCATCTTTTGCAGCGCTGATATCAACTTTCAAAGCCCAAGACTTTTTCAATGCCATCTCACAGGGAGTGGGTGGTATATATATTCATATAGTAGGGGACACATTCTGATATTAAAAAAAATCAGCAAGTCATTTTTTAAGGTTGGATTCTCACACCTTCCCCCCGCCCCCCTGCTCCCCCAGACCTCCTCCCCCCATACACCAAAAGCTTCTGGCAAAATTTTCCAGGTTCATAGGAGGAGTCTTACTGGTGCACTTAACAGTATGGAATCCAAACTAAGTTTTAATCTTCTTTTCAGCTACAACTCAAATACCAATGAAAAAGTACTTCATTTCACATCTCTCCTTTTACTTAAGTTTTTTTTTTTTTCTCCTCACACCTACTACAGAACTAATGGAGGCCTTCTGTTCATATCATTCTCTTGAGCCACTTCTCCCAAATCAAAGAAAGTGTGAAAGCATGGAGAATGTAGTGGAGTACAACCTCTTCAGATAGCATGATAATTTTCAAGTACAGTTTCCATTGCTATTCTGTTCCCCCAGGGCTCCTGTAAAGTATTAAGATAATTAGTGGAGTTTGGGGAAACTATTGGATTCAAGAGCAAATCAGTATCTACCTGAGAAAAAGCAATAGAATCAGAGTGACCAGCATCCATGGTAACCACTGCCCATTTAAATGATAAGAACTGCTAAGTCGGTGGTAAGATTAATCACAAGTACCCTGGCAGGTACAGAATGACCTAACTGTGTCTGATTGTGAGGGAGATGCTGTGATACATGTTTCCTCTGTAGGTGAGATTTGAAATCTCAACCCTTACAAGTATTTCTGTTTACACTTAAGTAGGCTTTTAGACACATATGTCTAATAATAATAATAATAATAATAATAATAATAATAATAATAATAATATGTTTAGGGCCTCCCTGGTGGCGCAAGGGGTTAAGAGTCAACCTGTGAGGCTGTCTGCAGCCTCTGCAGCACAGATTTGATCCCCAGCCAGGGAGCTACCCACATGGCGCAACAGACCTCTCCTGACTCACCTGCTGCTCCCTTCAGCAGTGTACTTTGGTAGAGCTGCCTGTTCTGTTCCCCACTCTGTCTCTGGTGAGTCCTCTCATTCCCCGCACCTCTGGCATATGCCCTAGCTCTTGTATGTATAAATAGATAAATCTTAAAAAAAAATGTCTAAATAGACATGGTTTGACTTAGGGCATATTGACAGTTCACGGGAGACAATGATCATTCTAGGATTAGAAAAGGGTGGTGAGAGCATGGTTTTTCAACCTTTTTTCATGGTTGTCTCAATGCAAATATTATTAAAAATAAATGAAGTGGAATGAAATTCAGCAATGCAGTTTATTACCTTCTGCAGTTTTTATCTTCCATGGAAAGAAGTTAGAATTTTTTCCATTTCTATTTTTTTGAGATCTTCCCTCCCATAAACCAAGTGGCTTATACTGTATTTGCAGCCATCACCATTTGTTAATATGTTAATTTTTATCTCTTAAAATAATTAAATGGACACTGCCTTAATCTCTTTAATTATCAGCCTTTTGTGTATCTTGGAAATATCAATAGAAATAATGTTTTGCAGTTCTAAATAAAATAACCTGAAATCGAAATACATTTTTATTTACTATTTGAATATTAATGAAATAATGCAAGTATAAGGCTCTTATGGTCAGTTACTCCAATATCAAATTTTATTTTTATTGATTGATTGATTGATTTATCACTGTATATGATTTAGAGGAATAGGTTCACACCTCCTCAGATCCCAGCATTACATTTTAAAAGATCTTTTTGAAAATTTATTTTAACCATTCTAAAAGAGGACCTGCACTGAGACTCTCCTCAGATCTGCATGTGGAAATAATCATAAATGCCTGTCATTGCAATGTTTATTTAGTAGACACTACTCCAGTACCATTCTGAATACTAATTAAATCTTCATGACAAACTCATTTGTTTTCCCTGTTTTACACATTAAGAAACTGAGAGGTAAACTCACTTGTCCTGGCCCACACCTTGCAAGTGGCACAGCTGTTTGAACTCAGCCAGCAAATTCCAGTTATACACCTTTCCCCTAAGCAATCCCCCCCTCCCCTAAACATTGAAGTGGTACAATTTAAGCCATTGGGACCAGGGGATTTTCCAAGGGTGCTGCCTTTGTTCTGGAACATTAATCTGTTATAATCCTTATCAGAACCTGCAGTCCATATCATAATTCTCTAATTATCTCCAGCTTGTTAGGACTTGACTACATAGGGATTGCAACACTACAAAAGGCCCATCGAGAAAATATATACAACTCTAATTTCTTTACTTGGCTTAAAATGGAAACTTTACCGTTGCTTCAGCTAAAAATTTGTGAGTAGTTCTGTGATGTCAATATGTTTTCCGATGTGATGCATAGATAGATACATGGAATGATGAGAGTAATTGATGGTAAAAGTATAAGGAACAAAAGAAAAGGGGATGAGGCCTATTAGTTTAGCTGTCAGTCTTAACTTTGGTGAATTTTTGTTTTATTATTGGTTATAATACAGTATGTTCTCTCTTCTATCCCTAATTGTATTGTGGACCCTAGGAAATAAGCTATTTCTCTGTTTATAGCCATTTCTGTCTAGGGATGAAATTTAGTTTGAAGGTGAAACCAAATGCAGTTTCAAAATCTGAAATAGGATGAGAATTTTTTTCTTATTTAATTCATATGGCTGACTAGAAACAAACTCTTCTTGGTAAAAGCAGTTACATTTATTGTTGATTTACTGTGTGCTGGATGTTGTTTTAAGCATTTTATATGTAATAATGCCGCTCATTTTCAGGAGAACTACATAAGATGGCTAGTCTCATTACAGTCACTTTACAGGTGGGGAAACTGAGGTATAGATGGGTTAAGTAGCCTGATCATGGAGTTTGTTGATAGGGAAGCTGCATCCCAGGCAATTTGGGTTTTCATGAATTTACCACTATCAGGGTAAATAAGGACTTTGTCTAAATATCAAAGTTTTGACAAATGAAAATACTAGCAAAAGCATAGTGATTCTCCTTTTTCAATTGTATGTATTCACTGGATAAGATGTTAGAGAGTACATTTTAGAACTATAGGAAGTCAGAGAGTGAAAACCTCTGTGAATACAAAATTGTTTTCAGATAGAGCACTGGGTTGCTCTGCATTTCATTGAGACCATAAGCCATATCAATACAAAGAACATTCACTTAACAATAGAGGTGCCTCAGAATTGGTACCTAAAACAAAATTAAGTTTCAAATCCTGTCTTTTTCCATTTTGTGAAAGAAACTTTGGTACAAAATGTCTCTACCTTTTGAAAACCTGCTTTAAGACTGATTTAAATACTATCTTTCTCATGAAACTCTCCTGCATTCACTCCTCCCTGCCAACAGTGAATTAAATTAGTTATCCCCTTCCTTTTGTTCCCATAGGATTTGGGTTACAGCACTGTTCATAACTGTGTTTTCTGTTATAGTTAGCATTTATCTGTCTTCATCTTGAGTGTATGCTTCTCCAGGAGGGGGGCTTTGATTTATTCTTTCCAGTCCTTAATTCAACCCTGATATGGAAGGATATCAATAAATGCTGACTAGAAGAAGTTTAAAAGAGAGAATGGGAACCTCATGCTTGTATCTGATATTCTGAGAGACTAATTAAGTTTTTCT